AAAAAAAAAAAAAAAGAACAGAGCTCTTGCCAAAACCCCAAGACTTTGGGAAGTATCTCTCATGTCCTGGATTGGCCTTCTCAGGAAGTGACAGGTTAAAAAAAAATGGTCCCACAAATTCCATCAGCTTTCAGTGGGGTTTCTAGGTTGTTGGGTAACTCCAAAGGAATTGGGGACTGAGCTTTCTGGCCAAATAAATAAATAAATGTGCTTTGAGAACCTTTCATGTTCTTCAGAACTATACTGGGCATTCCAGAGAGGGTGAAGAAAGGCCTTAAATTTGGGAGGTAAAAATGGACTGCTTTGACTGCCCCCAAACTAATCTTGGAGCTCCACCTCTGCTTTTCTTCTTGATTCCAGGGTCGAGGGATCTTTGCAAGTGGAAGTCCTTTCGACAGTGTGACTCTGGAAAATGGCCAGACATTCACTCCTGGGCAAGGAAACAATGCCTACGTGTTCCCGGGAGTGGCACTGGGAGTCATTGCTGGCAAGATCCGGCACATCCCTGATGAGATCTTCCTCCTGACAGCCGAGGTACCACTGTCACCATTCTCTCAAATGCTCTCTAATAGAGCCCTGGGGTCCACACTAGGTCCTCAAGACTGGTAGCCCCTAAAGATTCCTTTCCTCTTACCTCTTTTACTCATGGGCCTGAAACTTTGGCAATGGATCTCCAAAGCACATGAATCTCCAGATTACCTTGAGACTTGGCCATGGCTCCAAGCACACAAAGGACTATTAAGAAGATAGGGGGTATGGTCAGTGGATGGGGGGTTGGAAGGAGAGAATGAGTGGGGAGATGTGCTAGGAATGAGCCCACTGCTTTCCAGCTCCTAGCAATGCCACCTAAAAGCATAGACAGGGAAGATGCCACCAGCCACCTGAATGTGTGGACCTATGGACCATGCTGGGTGATGGATTCTTCATGTGACCTTGAACACATCTCTGGAGTCATGGTGGCAGTAAGCCCCTTTGGGATACTTTCTATAGGGGAACAAATAGGGGTGCATGCACTGTGCTGGATGTGTTGAGGATGTTTCTGGTCTAGGTATCATACTGGAAAAGCTCCTGGAAAGAAGCATTCCTTACTTGAAAAAGTTCCCTACTAGAAGAAAATGTTGCTGTTTTTTGGGGTTTTTTTCTTTGCCAGTCCTGTGGCTTGAACTCTGGGCCTGGACACTGTCCCTGGGCTCCTTTTACTCAAGGCTAACACTTGAGACACAGCACCACTTCTGGCTTTTTATGTGATTAATTGCAGATACAGTCTCATGGACTTTGCCTGCCTGGTCTGGTTTCAAACCACATTCCTCAGATCTCAGCCTCCTGAGTAGCTAGGATTACAGGTGTGAGCCACTGGTGCCTGGCTGGTTTGGTTTTTTTTTTTTAAGCAATAAAAGAACTCATTAAGAATAATAACATATTCATATTATTAGTTATGAGTAACAATTACGAACACTAAGTGCCAAGCACATTCTCACTCTGAAGAAACCAAGGCATAGAAATACCAGACGCTGTAATCCTAGCTACTCAGGAGGCTGAGATCTGAGGATTGTGGTTCAAAGCCAGCCCAGGCAAGAAAGTCTGCCAGATCATATAAAAAATGTCTCCTAGAGGGAGGAGTAGCCACTTCTCAACCCTACCCACACCAGCTACAACTTTGGGTGACAAACCTCTGTCCTTGTCTGAGTATTCTATGAGTCTTATCACCTTGTGATGGGTGATTCTTGTCTTGTGGCTGTGGGTAGAGTTGTTTGGAACCCCAGTTGCATGGAAAGAATTATGTCCTATTTGAAGTTAGTTTGATAGCAGATTTCCCTATTAAGCAAAAACATAGTTGTTTGAGCCCCTCTTAGGTCACCCCCACAACATATCTGCACATTCCTCCCTCAGTGCCAAGAGACCCTTTGGCTCCATTTTGTGAACAGTGCCCATCAATGACACAGCAGTTGCTCCTTAGCCACTTAGTAAGCACCTGTCAGAAGCAAGGGTAGAAGCATGCTGTGGCTCTCCTCATTTCATATCTTTGTACAACTCCTTGAGCTTCCAGGATGACTCTCCTACCTCTCCTGGTTTCTATGCAAGACACTTCATTGCCATACTAAATATTATTTTCAATGTAATGTCCAATCTCTCCACCCTCCCTCTCTCTCCTCTCTCATAACTCAAGCATTTACATGTACTATACCTTCTCCCCACCCAGTGATTTATAATTAGTTCATCAGCTCTCTGCCTATCACACTTTTTCCATTACACAGCAGATGCTTTCATGTCCCCTCTCATTGCATGAGTTCATTATAATTGGTACTGTTATTTGTTAATTGTCCAGTGATTGCTGCTCCACACTAAAGACTATAGCTTTTCTCCATGGAGTCTCAGCACCTAGCACAGGCGGAACTGTAGAACTCAGTGAACATTTGAATGAATAGAAAGGTGAGATAGGAATATGAGAAGGAGGCAAAGGAGAGAGCGATTTGCTTTTCCAGTGCCTGCAAACTCTGAGGCAAGACCAACAAATATTCTTAGCACCAGTGGGAGGAGATTCACAACCACCACATTGGAGAAAATGATTTGCAAGGCTGACTAAGCACCAGTGCTTAAGGCTTTGATGGGCGCTCAGGATGGTACCAAGCCCATGAAAAGAGGCTAAGCCCACAAAATGATAGACCCAGCAATCTTTGTGCAAAACGCTAGATCAACCAAGAGGACACTTTGTAGTCTTTGTAGGTCACAAGTTTATTTACCTTGGTCTTAGTGATTTTTCTTTGGAATTTGGAAGGTCTCATGCAACTTTAAATCTCAGCCAGACTCACAGTATAGAAAGGATGTGTCCTGGGGTTTTTGTTTGTTTGGTTGGTTTGGTTTGGTTTTTTGTTGGTCATGGGGCTTGAATTCTGGACGTGGGTGCTGTCCATGAGCTCTTTAGCTCAAGGTGAGCACTCTACCACTTGAGCCACAGCACCACTTCCGGATTTCTGACGGTTAATTGGAGATGAGTCTCACGGACTTTCCTGCCCAGGCTGGCTTTGAACCATGATCCTCAGATCTCAGCCTCCTGAGTAGCTAGGATTACAGGTGTGAGTAGCAGCCTAAGCATCAACTCTCTTTGAGACTATGTAATGGTTAGCAATAGAAACTACTACACCTGTGCAGGGGTGAGGCATCTCTAGGCAATGGGTTGGGGCTGGGGGTGGGGGGGGGTTGTTTTGTTTTTGCCAGTCCTGGGGCTTGAATTCAGGGCCTGGGCACTGTCCCAGGCTTAAGGTCAGCATTCTACCATTTGAGCCACAGTGCCACTTCCAGCTTTTCTGTGTATGTGGAGCTGAGGAATGGAACCCAGGGCTTCACGCATGCTAGACAAGCACTCTACCACTAAGCCACCTTCCCAGCCCAAGGGCGGGGGTTCTGAAAAGACAAACAGCTGATTCCTCCTGGTTCTTTCTCTGTCTCTAGCACATTGCCCAGGAGGTCTCTGAGTTTCATCTTTCCCAGGGGAGACTGTACCCACCGTTCACCATCATCCGAGATGTCTCTATAAGAATTGCCGCCAAAGTAAGGAGCACTGCTCTCCTCATAGTAGAGGGTGGTGGGTCACAGACACTTTCTGGCTCCAGAAGAGCCAGGAGATGGCGCTGTGAAGCCATCATGAGCTCATCTGGCTTTGTGGCATGCAGCCCAGAGGCTCAGAGGCTGAGCAACGAACTGGTGCTTGCAGCCCAAGCTCCACCCCGAATACCCACCCAAACCAGTTCTGGGGAAGTTCCTGATCCTGCCTCCTCCCCCACCCAGACATCGAGCAGAAAAGTCACTGAAGTCTTGTGAAGTGGAATGTGGGTGGAAATTTTTAAAAATGAATCAGAGTTACCCATTGATAAGAAAGGTTAGCTTGCATAGCATCCCAAAAGGGGCTTGGGCTTTGAGGCCCAGTCCTTTCCTTCCCTGGAGCCTTTCCCAAAAAGGCCAGTTCCTCTCTTCCAGAATTCTGAAGATGCTCAAAGACAACAAAGCTCCACATCCTGTGCTTGTCTGGCCAGAATAGATGCTCGTTCTTCCTGTTTTTCTCAGATTGGCTGGATCCTAAGACAATTGAATTCATGATCTATTCCAGACTAGGAAACTATTCAGAAACGATAGGTTTTTCAAAGAATCTGAGCAGAGTGCGACTCTGGGTCAAAGGGGTAATGGTTAAAGCTGGATAAAGGGCGTATAAGGGTCTACTATACTGCTATGTCTGTTCATGTATCTTTTTTCCATAACTTTTTGAAATCATCTTAGAAAATGCATTGTACAACAGCACACATTCCCCATAAGTCAATCAGCACAGGAGCCTTTAAACCAGACTCAAGACCAGAAGTCTTTACCCTGTCCAGTTCCTTCTTTCTGGAGAAATTCAAGTTCATACTCTCCCTGACACCAAATCTCACACTCACCAAACAATACCCAGCATGTGAATCCACTTCCGTCCACATTCAGGAGGGAAAGCAATTCATTTCTAATTATGTGCTACTTTTACCTGTTAATTAAATTTAACCTCACACCGTTCCAGAGAAATGTATCATTACCCCTGCTTTACACACAAGGAAATAGAAGCTCAGCTAGGATACTGTCTCACTACTGGGAACCCACAGGCTATGGGAAACGGGCCAAAATTTAGACTGGACCTTTTGACCCTGGCCCACTATTTATTCTGTGCTAAAGTTGCCTGACTAGAACAAAAAGTTTAGCATTTTCCTACCCACAGTTCATGAGGAGGAACATGGCTGGCTCTTTAGGGTGCATCCCCATCCTTGCATTAGGTTTTCAAATAAGGGCCTTTAGGCAGTTTTTCCTGGTGATTCCATTCCTCAACCAAATCTGATTTTTTTCCCCCTAGGTCCTTGACTACGCATACAAGCACAACCTGGCTTCCTACTATCCGGAACCCACAGACAAGGAGGCTTTTCTAAGATCCCTGGTCTATACTTCCAACTATGACTCCTTCAGAGGGGACACCTACACTTGGCCCAAGGAAGCCATGAGTTTTCAGACTATCTAATGCCATTTCAGGAACTTATAACATCACTCTATAAATGGGTTCCAAAACTGACATCCTTGTTGCCATCATTCTGTTTTGTTTTTTCCATTTGAGATTTTTAGTGGGAGGGGAGATGCTGGTACCTACTGTGGTTGAAGACTTGTCCTTGAAGGCTCTGGCAGTTTACCTTCCTATGATCCTTTTCTTAGTTCCTTCCTGATTTCTAGCTCCTGTCTAGGTCTTGCAGAAAACAGAGAATTCTTCTCAGGATCCCACCTTTATAGAGCTCATCAAGGCCTCGGAGAGTAATTGGACAAAACTCCTTTTGCCATAACAGAAAAAGGCTCAAGGCCATGAGAACCATGTAGATAAAGGTGGAGGGTGGTCAAAGAAGGATGTTTCCTGTGAGATAGAAAAGAAGGCTCAAGAAGTAGTGCTTGGGGGCTGGGAAGGTGGCTCAGTGGAGGAGCGCTTGCCTTGCATGCATGAGGCCCTGGGTTCTATTCCTCAGCACCACATAAGCAAAAAGAAAAAAGCCAGAAGTGGCGCTGTGGCTCAAGTGGTAGAGTGTTAGCCTTGAGTTGAAGAGCTGAGGGACAGTGCCCAGGCCCAGAGTCAGGCCCCATGACTGGACCCCCCCCCAAAAAAAGAAGTAGTGCTTGCACTGAGACCCGAGGGGGAAGAATGGATGGGACTCAGGGGCAGATGAGCAAGTATGAGTACAATCATCAGCCAAAAAATATGGTCCAATCATCAAGGAATCCAGACCCTTCTGAGGATCACACTCCCCTTCAAGATTCTGCAAGGGGTTATTACTAAAAGGAAAGCCAGAGAAATATGGGTGGGGAGGGTC